AGGTGCAAAATATCGATCAAAATGATAATGTTGATGCATCTTCGCAACAACAACCATATATCTTTGCAACAGGCAGAGAGAAGAGAGTGATCAACCGACCGCAAAAGTTTGCAAACGTAGTTGATGGGAATCTTCTTGGATATACGATTCAAGTGGGATTCGCTTTGGCAGTTGCAGAGACCGTTGGTGCATTTGAGTGTTATAGCTACTCAGAAGTTATTCAGAGTACAGAACCAAATCGATGGATTAGTGCTATGGCTAAAGAGATTAAGTCTCTTAACAAGTTTAGGCATTTCCGAGACTTGGTTGATGTGGTCTGCAATGGATAGAGCCCTCGTGAGGGCTGAGGGCAAGGTAGAGAGACATTGCTCCTGTGTATGAAGAGAATTCAAGCCAAGGGGAAGATTTGTTATTTTGTGGCTTGAATTATTTCCTTGTATTTTTAGGAAACCCATAATTCATATAGGTTTAAGAAAACTCGTTGTCCTAATAGATTCTGGAAAAGAAAAGCTATGGTCTTTGTCAAATTGGGAAACATTTCTCTTATATGTTTGGGACCTTTTGGGATCTATATATAGGAGTTGTAGTTGGGGATTGTAGATATGGTACTATGCTTTTCTTTTCATTCATAGTGGAAAACTCTCTCTGCTTTTGCCCCGAGGATTAGGCTTAGCCGAACCTCGTTAAATCCTTGTGTGGATTTTTCTTCTCTATTTGATTTGTGTGTGATTGTGTGCTAGTTCGATATTCTGCAACAATTGGTATCAGAGCAAGGTTTGGGTTTACAAATAATCTAGGGCTAAGATGTCTTCATCATCTTCAACAAAGTACGAAGTAGAGAAATTTGATGGAGGTTCTAGTTTCAGTCTATGGAAGATTAGGATGAAATCGTCACTTATGTTACAAGGGTTATGGAAGACAATTGATGATGATTTTCCTGAAGAGATGAAAGAGACAGAGAAGGCAGACCTGAAGGAGAGGGCTTTGAGTGCGATCTTCATGAGCGTTACAGATAGCATTCTTCAGGAAATTGCAGAAGAAACTTCTGCAGCAACGGCATGGAAGAAGCTGGAAGATTTGTATTCTAAGAAATCGCTAACAAACCGCCTCTACCTGAAAAAGAGGTTATACAATCTCCGTATGATTGAAGGTACACCTGTTAAAACTCACATTGATGAGTTTAATTCAATTATAATAGACCTGAAGAATGTGGATATCAAAATTGAGAGTGAGGTCCCGACCTTGATTGTGTTATGTTCTTTACCACCGTCTTATGATACTTTTGCCGATACACTACTATATGGGAAAGACAACAGTTCACTAGAAGATATTAGTAATGCACTAAAATCTGAAGAGTTGAAAAAGAGCTTTCCAAACAGCAAAATTGAGGGCGAAGGTCTTGTGATTAGAGGAAGAACACAACAAAAGGACTTTAACAAGAACAAGTCAACCGCCAGATCAAAGTCTAGAGCAAGGAAGCAACACTATTATGAGTGCGGGGAGCAAGGTCAGTACAAAGAGATTGTCCTAAGCTAAAGGAGAAAAGTGGGAAGCAGAAAATAGATAATTCGGTAAATATTGTTGACACTGGCAATAATTCTGATGATAGTGACTGTGTAAGGGAAGTCTGTGCTGTGATTTCTAGGCATGGGAAGATTTCTTGGGTTCTTGATTCTGGTGCTACTTTCCACTTGTGTCCACACAAGAATTGGTTTGCAACTTACAAGAAAATAAGTGGGACTGTCTACATGGGAGATGATAATCCATTACCACTAGAGGGGGTTGGTAACATCAAATTGAGAATGTTCGATGGAATTATCAGAAATATTGAGTGTTGGCATGTTCCTCGAATAAAGACAAATTTAATTTGTCTTTCAACTTTGGATGATCAAGGGTATAAATTTCACTCTGATAATGGAACACTTAAAGTGTATAAAGGCACCACAGTACTCATGAAGGGTAAACTACATTCTAAATTTTATCATCTTCAGGCCAGTATAGTTGAAGGGGAAGCTACTATAGCTTCTGGGAAAAGTGATCTGAATTAGTCTCAGTTGTGGTACTTGCAACTTAGCCATATGAGTGATAATGGATTGTCTTTATTGAGTAAGTACAATTTGCTGAATGGGTACAAAAATCAAGTTTTGAATTTTGTGAGCATTGTGCGTTTGGTAAACAGACAAGGGTACAGTTCAGTAAGAAGGCCGAGCACAAGACCAGAGACAAGTTAGATTATATACCTCTGACTTGTGGGATCCAAACAGAGTTCCCTTCAAGAGTGGTGCCAGGTATTTTATGACTTTGATTGATGATTACTCAAGGATGATGTGGGTGTATTTTCTGAAAATAAGAGATGAGGCATTTCCGACATTTGTTAAATGAAAGACGATGGTTGAGAGGCAGACGGAAAGAAAAGTTAAGAGTCTTCGAACTAACAATGGGTTGGAATTTTGCAATTCTGAGTTCCATAATTTCTGCAGCAGAGAGGACATAGTGAGACACCGCACTTGTGTCGGAACACCACAACAAAATGGTATTGCAGAAAGTATGAATAGAACACTTTATGATAGGGCACGAAGCATTCTTTCACACCCATGTGTTAGCAAAGATTTTTGGGCTGAAGCAATCAATACAGCTTGTTATTTGGTCAACGGATCTCCATCCACAGCTATTGAGTTCAAAACTCCTTTTAAGGTATGGTCCGGTTCGCCTGCTGATTATTCAAATTTAAGGATATTTGGTTGTCCTGCATATGCTCATGTGAGGGATGGAAAACTTGAGCCGAGGGAAAAGAAGTGCATATTTCTAGGGTATGCAACTGGTGTGAAAGGTTATAGGTTGTGGTGCACAGATCAAAAGACTCCAGGGCTAACTATCAGTAGGGATTTAACATTCAATGAATCTACCTCACTAGACAGTCAGAGGAAGAAGGCAATAACATAAACAGATCGTGGTGTCAGTGACCGCAAAAAGCTAGAAATTGAATCTCCACTAGCTCGGCCCAGTAGTTCTAAAGTAGAGGAAGTGGAGGAGGTGCAAAATATCGATCAAAATGATAATGTTGATGCATCTGCGCAACAACAACCATATAGCTTTGCAACAGGCAGAGAGAAGAGAGTGATCAACCGACCGCAAAAGTTTGCAAACGTAGTTGATGGAAATCTTCTTGGATATACGATTCAAGTGCGATTCGCTTTGGCAGTTGCAGAGACCGTTGATGCATTTGAGTGTTATAGCTACTCAGAAGTTATTCAGAGTATAGAATCAAATCGACGGATTAGTGCTATGGCTAAAGAGATTGAGTCACTTAACAAGTTTAGGCATTTTCGAGACTTGGTTGATGTGTGCGGCAATAGATAGAGCTTTCACGAGGGCTGAGGGCAAGGTAGAGAGACATTGCTCTTGTGTATGAAGAGAATTCAAACCAAGGGGAAGATTTGTTATTTTGTGGCTTGAAATATTTCCTTATATTTTTAGGAAACCCATAATTCATATAGGTTTAGGAAAACTCATTGTCCTAATAGATTCGGGAAAAGAAAAGCTATGGTCTTTGTCAAATTGGAAAACATTTCTCTTATATGTTTGAGACCTTTTGGGATCTATATATAGCAGTTGTAGTTGGGGATCGTAGAGATGGTACTGTGCTTTTCTTCTCATTCATAGTGAAAAACTCTCTCTGCTTTTGCCCCGAGGATTAGGCTTAGCCGAACCTCGTTAAATCCTTGTGTTGATTTTTCTTCTCTATTTGCTTTGTGTGAGATTGTGTACTAGTTAACCCACGATATTCTGCAACAAAATCTTTTGCATATTCAAAAATTGAAGTCACAAATTTCTTAAATATAAATTTCTAATAAAAATATACTCAAATAAAATTTGTTGACACTCTGAATCCGAAGGGATAATATGAAAGGGTTAGTTTAATGTTGATGCCCAACTTAGTTAACTTAAATATTCATAGAAAACAAGTTAAAGCCTACTTAGGAATCTATTCTTAATCGATAAGAATATAGAAAAAGGAGATAAAGTTATAATAACATAACGTAAGAAAGTTTTAGGGTTGCCGTCCTCTAGCTTTCTCGTTTAATTCCCAATTAGTTCTACGTTATTCTTTCTTTAGTCTTTTATTTTCCCATTGTAAATGAAAAAGCATAATTCAAACTTAGAGCGATCGATAGGCATAAAGGAATCGGCATATATATAGCAGGTTGGTTAACTCCGTACTTCTAGGTACATGTGCATGTTGATTTTTTTTTTAAATAATTGTGGTGTTGAAGTGAGTTTGCACGCACCAATAATTCTGTCCATCAAAGTGTACATGCAGTGGTGGTCACGTATTCGAGCCGTGATGAAACGATAAAGTTGTCGGATTTGAGTCGTGGAAGCGGTCAAGCATTAGGATAGGCTTATCACACCCTTTGCGGTGCGACCCTTCTTCGGACCCTGCATGAATGCAGGCTTTGTGAACTGGGGTGCCTTTTTTTATCAGCTTGCCCGCACCTAGACTAATTCCACGCATCACTGTATCTCCCACCGATAAAGTATAGAATAATTTTGTTCATCAAGGTGAACATGTTGAACCTTGTGCATGTTGAAAAGAAAATCTTGCATTGAAAAAGAAAAAAAAATAGAAAAGAAAATCTAGTGGTAGATAAGGTAGGAATAAGGTCTGCATACACTTTATCCTTTCGAGAACAAATGGGACCGCACTGGATTTGTTGTTGTTGTTGGAAAGAAATTCTTGCATGTGCAGTATATACGTAGGAGTAGATCCTAATATCTGATTGAATACCGAAAAAACATTAAGTTTATCTAAATGGAGTCTGAGAAAAATAGTGTATACGCATATCTTATACCCCTTGGTTTATGCTATCTCTGAAATTTTGTTTTCGATTAGAAAATCTTTTTTCTTGGATGTTTTATTCATAAAAGTTTGTTTACCTTTTTTGTTGGTTTCATCACAGGAATAAAGAAGGCGTTAGTATTGCATTGTATTTGGGAAGATGTTTAGGTTACTTGGGAAACCCAAGGAGGAACCAAATATTCTTGCAACTCTTGAAAAGTTAAATGAGGTACACATCATCATGTAATTGATAGTGCTGTGTTTGAAATTCATGTATGCGATTAGTCATTTATTCTAAATTATAACAGTTGCTAATTTGACTTACTTTGTTTGGTTTCTTTTAAAGTATAATGATGTTGATTTAGTGAAAGGAAGATTTTAATTTTGAGATCACTGGTGGTCACAGTGGCGTAGCCACGTAGAGTGAAAGGTGTTCAGTGGATCACTCTTCATCGGAAAATTACATTGAGTATATAGAAAATTATACTATATATAGATCATAAGTTGCTCGGACACGGGTGCGGTGTCCGACACGGGTGCAGATCTAGAGGTCAGATCCTTCGAGATGTAAATTCTAAGATTTCGGGGATATGGATCTTAGTACGGATACAGGTGTAGGGATCCGGCTAAAAATAATTTAAAAATATAAAAAAAAAATCTCTAATTATGATAAATTTTGTGGAATACTTACGTATAGCTTATAAAGTGTGGATTTCTTTTCTTTATTCTCAAGTTGTAGATAAGTAAAGGATTGATTTCCTAGAAGGTATGTTATTTTCTTCAAATTTATCCTATTTCGGTTCGGGAATCAAATTGTATCTCATCTCGAATTTTTCCGTCCATCATGGTTAAAGTAACCAAAATTGTTTGACCAGATCCGGTACGGATCCCATACTCACACCCATACTAGTGTTGTGTCGACACGGATGCGGCACCTAAACTGCTATGTCGGAGCAACGTAACTTAGTATAGATCAAAAATTATTTTATATATATATATATATATTAAACCTTGAATGCTATTTGCAAAATTACTGGATTCGTCACTACTGGTGAATTTTGGACGAAAGTGTAGTACTTGTTCTTGTGATGGTCAGAATTTCTGTTCGAGGAAACAACCACTAACGGTTGCGCTGGGGAGACCTTCTAACATTACACTTTTCGGGGTACAGTTCCTCCTCGGATCCCGCATGAATATAGGATACTTTGTGCGTCATGCTGTCATTTTGATAATATTAAAGTAATGATTGAAAAATTAGTCTGTTAAAGAAATCATCATTTCTAAGACAATGCATGTATTTGAAGTTTTCGTTTCTCTTGATTGTCTAGCATTTAGAGGATCTCGAGAAGAAAGAGAAAGTATTCTTGAAGAAGGTTTCTGCGGAGGTTGAAAAGGCCAAAGAGTTTACAAAAGCTAAGAATAAGAGAGGTATGGTTGAGAATTGTTTGCTTATATATAGTCATATTTTCATTATATTAAGCTTTTACATATGGCTTGTAGTCATATTTTCATATTGCTGTACATTATAAGGAAGCATAAGAATTTTCCTGACTTTGACTTTTCCGGATATTTCTAGTCTTTTTGTGAACTAAAAGAACGTTCTATTACTCCCTCCGAACCAATTTATGTGTCAGTGTTCGGATTTTGAGAGTCAAACGAGTTTTTTCGTTGACTCCGACTTTTTCATATGCCTTTAAATATTTTGAATTGTTAATTATTATGACTTATTATAGTATCTTTAACGTAGTTTTTAAGTATGTATATTTTTTTCAAAAACTTAAAGACTCTATTTTTGTATTCACAATCAATATTAAAAAATTTGACTCTCGAAATTCGAAGTATGTCAAATAATGTTTTAGTCCTGCAATAAGCATTCTTGCTTTGTCATATCTGGAAATTCCAGCCTTCTTCTAAACTAAAGAGGAAAAAAAGAGTAGTTCGGTGCACAAAGCATCTTGCATTCATGATGCAAGGTTCGGAGAAGGGCCACACCCCAAAAAGTGTGATGTACCCTAACGCAAGCCTTAGTGACTGCTTGCACGGCTCAAACTCGTAACATATAGATCATACGGAAACAACTTTACTATTGCTCCAAAGCTCTCCATCTTCTTATGAATTAAAGAGAAGTTTAATTACCGTTCTTTTATTGTAGCGGCTATTCAATGTTTGAAGAGGAAGAAGCTTTATGAGCAGGAAATTGAAAGACTTGGCAGTTCCCAACTTCGCATTCATGATCAGGTTGCTTGTTTATTATTATCAACCTTTTTGTATGGTGATACTTAAAAATTATATTTGTCATAAATAAATTACATGTCAAATTTTCAATGTGTAGATGATAATATTAGAAAGTGCTAAAGCTACAACTGAAACTCTTGATGCTTTGAGAATCTCAGCCGCTACAATGAAAGCAATGCAAAAAGCAATGTAAGTGACAAAACTTACTTTGTTTCTTTTTTATTGTTTGTTGTTTTCCTATACTTGATACATGTAACATGTATCAAGTTATCACTAATGATTGTCTTGGAGCAACAGTAAAGTTATTCCCGTGTAACCTATAGATCACGGGTCCGAGCCGTAGAAGTAACCACTAATGCTTGCATCAGGGTAGGTTGTCTAAGAGTGTGGTCTTTCTCAGGATTCTATGTGAGCGCGAGATGCTTTGTGCACCAGCGTGTCCTTTTTTATACATATAACATGCGTCAAGTTGCCGCTAATGCTTGCCTTGGAGCAACAATAAAGTTATATACGTATAACCTATGGGTCACGAGTTCGAGCCGTGAAAGCAACCACTAATGGTTACATTAGGGTAGGCTGTTTACATTCAAAATCCTTAAGGGGTGCGGTCCTTCGAATTCTGTAATGCCTTATGTCACCAGCTGCCCTTTTTTATTAATATAACATGCATCAAGTTGCCACTAATGCTTGCCTTGGAGTAACAGTAAATTAAAGTTATCTTCGTGTAACCTATAGATCACGGGTTCAAGCCATGAAAGCAGTCACTAATGCTTGCGTTAGGGTAGGTTGTCTACATCGCGCCCTTAATAGGCGTGGACGTGTGGTCCTTCTCAACACCCTGCGTGAACGCAATATATCTTGTGTACCACACTACCCTCTTTTATTCATATAACATGCATCAAGTTGCCACTAATACTTGCCTTGGAGCAACAATAAAGTTATCTTCGTGTAACCTATAGGTCTTGGGTTCGAGCTGTGAAAACAGACACTAATGCTTGCATTAGGGTAGGTTGTCTACATCGCGCCCTTGAGAGGTGTGGACGTGTGGTCCTTCTCCACACCCTGCGTGAACGCGAGATATCTTGTTTACCGGGCAGCCCTTTTTTATACATATAACATGTATCAAGTTGCCACTAATGCTTGCATTGGAGCAACAGTGAAGTTATCTTCGTGTAACTTATAGGTCTTGGGTTCGAGCCGTAAAAGTAGTATGCGGTCCTTCTCCGAACTATGTGTGAAAGTGAAATGCCTTATGCACCGAACTGCCTTTTTTATACATATAACATGCATCAAGTTGCCCCTAATGCTTGCTTTTGAGCATCAATAAAGTTGTCTTCATGTAACTTATAGGTCACGGGTTCGAGCCGTGGAAGCAGCCACTAAAGGGTGTGGTCCTAATCCTGTGTGAACGCGGAATACCTTGTGCACTGAATTGTCTTTTTTTATACATATAACATGTTGATTGCGATTGGTTAAGCTTTTTTGAAGGTTATCTGCTCTTTTTAACTGTGGTAAGTATGTTAATAAACTTGTAGCGCCTAAAATACATCTGTTTTACAGGAAAATTGATGATGTGGACAAGACAATGGACGAAATAAATGAACAAACTGAGAAAATAAAGCAAATACAGGAGGCTTTGACCACTCCTATTGGTTCAGCAGCTGACTTTGATGAGGTTCCATGCATATCTCTGATTATTATTATCCCCTCCAGTCTTTATTTGTATTCTTTATAATAAAATAACTAGTCCTCCAATCAACGGACTATATCCCTCCATTTAAGCCGATATTAGAAAATAAATATAAAAGTAAATATAAAAAGAATGTATCAATTATACAAGCCTAAATAAAAGAGGATTTAATTTCATCTTTGTCGCTCCATTTAAGCTTATCTTTGACGGTGGTTTTGCTCAAATTTGTCTGTCCCAAGCCCGAATAAAGGAGGATTGTAGTAGGGTGACAGCTAACATAAAACTAGCTAACTTACGATGATGGACTCTATATATTCTGCACTTTATTTAAACTCATCTTTGCCGCTCCATTTAAGCTCATATTTTTTATTTTGCTCAAATTTGCCGGTACCAAGCCTGAATAAAGGAGGAGAGTTGTGGCAGGTTGTCAGCTAGTATAAAACTAGTTTATTTATGATGAATTCTCTTGTTGCCCTTATAGGATGAATTGGAAGCAGAACTTGAAGAATTGGAAAGTGATGAATTGGAAGAGCAGTTGCTTCAACCAGCAACTGCAGCCTCTGCTGCGACAGGGGCTGTCGCAGCAGGGAAGCAACCTGCTCGGCCTATTCCTCAAAATCGCGCTGCTGAAGACGATGAACTTGCTGCTTTACAAGCAGAGATGGCTCTTTGAGATTAGACCATGTATTATTGTTTTAGCTGTGGTAAACTATAGCTTATCAGTTGGTGAGAATTTGGAGTTGCTTTCTATGATTTAGTTACTTATTAGCGAAAAGTGAGTAAAATTGTTTGAAAAACCAAGAGCCCGTTTGGACATAAGAATTTTTTCACTTTTTTCGAAATCAGTGTTTGGCCATAAAATTTCCGAATTTTGAAATTTTTTGAAAATTTTGAAAAACTCCAAAAAGCTTTTTTTCAAAATTTTCATTCAGGTCGCTCACAAAACTTCAAAAACAACCCAAAATTATATTCATGTCCAAACACAATTTTAATTTTCAAATATCATTTTCGCTTTAAAAAAATTCACTTATTTTTTGAATTTTACAATTCTTATGTCCAAACACCCACTAAGAGAGATCAGTGCTGTTGCTTTCACATATATTTGATATCTGCTTTGGATCATATTGGACATAGAGTTTTTGCAGAAAATGGAGATTTGCAATTGCAGTTTATGGTCCATGCTAATAAAAATATTTATGCTTACTCTGTCATTATCTTTATTTTTTAATTTTTCCGAGTGTTGATGTCATAGGCGGATTCAAGATTTGAAGTTTATGGATTCTTACAAAGACCTCAAATTGATATACAACATAGTCAAATATTAATAAATATTTAGGAAATTTTTTAATACTTTATATAGGATACTGACAAATTATTGAAGTTACTCTATTCACGTAACTTATTAACTAGGTCTGCCAGTGGCAGAGGTAGAGTGTCGGGACCGGATTTGGTCGAACCCAAGAACTTTAATTCGAACCATGTGTTTGTCTTACAAAATCCATTAAATATGTATAAATGATTAATTTAGAATCCAATAACTTTTAACGATTAGAATTCTGAACCCATAAACTTAAAATCCTGGCTCCACCTCTAAGGTCCGACCCTGGATGCTGTGTCATTGTATTTTGTGGTCCATGCTCATTAAAATCTTATGTTCATACAATTTTCTCTTTTATCTTGAATTTTCCTCAGTGATATTATATCTGCTAAAGAGGATATTTATGAAATGCTGTGTTTGTTACCACAAAATGTGTTGTTTAATATATATATATTTTTTAAAACTCAAAACAAAAGTTTTATTGAATTGAATCAGCAATCAACAATGATTGTAATAAAACTAGGAGCATACTATCAAATCCCAATAAGAAGGACTAGCATAATTTTTATACTCTCCCGCATTGGCAGTTTTCATCTTTTACCCCCTCACATTTTTTCTTTAAAATCGAGCAAAATTTTTAATTAAAATTCTAGACTCCCCACATTTCTATTTGTACAAGTATATCACATTTACGATGAAAATTGTAAAAAATCATCCACGCGATCCACCACTTATTCTCGATTTCATGACAAAAGAATCCTGTCTAATTCACTTATTCGTTATAGATTTTGAATTTCTACATTTAAAAAGGGTGAAAATCATTTTCAGTCTCCAACCTTACTTTAAAAATAAAATTTCCCCTCCAATTTGAATATATCGTGTCGGTTTTTTAAAAGCACAGTTAGAGAGGGAGAAAAACTTTTACCTATTTGAAAAAGATTTTGCTAGAAATCTATGAAATGGGAGGTGATGATCATAATTTCCAGGGGTGTACATAGACCGGGTTGGTTCGGGTTTTCCAATTACCAAACCAAATTAATTATCTCGGATTTTTAAATCTATTAACCAAACCAACAAGTCGGGTTTTTCAATCTCGATTTTTCTCGGATTTTTCGGTTTTCTCGGGTTTTTCGGGTTTTTTTCGACAAAATCTTCATAGCATAAATTTTATAATTTGTGCTCTAATATTCTTAGGTCCTAGTAGGATAAAATCATATACGATGTTACCCAATAAAATAATACAAAATATTGTGAGATGAGTCATGATTATACTAAAATAGTCAACAAATTGCATAAATAAATATTGCTAATTAATAAGTCATAATCATGTTAAATAAGTACGACTAATAAGTACGAAGTATTAATTACATGACTAAATAATATTAAAAGTAAGTTATGTATTTTCACTATCTAAAGTAATGAAAAACTAAGAAAACAAACATCCAATACTATTGTCATTCCTAGTATTGAATTGAATTTTTTTCTTTGTTAGCATTTTTATTGATTTGATTTTGCTTTGGAATTTATTTGAATCACTAACTTTTATGGGCTATAAAATATATTTGATCATTCAAAAGTTCTAAGTCAAAGCTTGAAATAATACATTAAAATAGAGAACTATGAAAAAGGTTAAAAATATTTATAAATTACATTACAATTATTATTTTTATGTATAAAATATTTTAAAATTTGTATACATGTAATGTCGGGTTGGTTTGGTTTCGGTTTGACTTTTTTTAGTTAAAAAACCAAATCAATTATGGTGGAGTTTTTTTTTTCTAACACCAAACCAAACCATAGTTGGATTTTTTTTTTCTCGGTTTGACTCGGGTTATCGGTTTAGTACGGTTTTTCGGTTTCCTTTGTACACCCCTAATTCCCTAATTTTTTGAATACTTGTTTCCTTTGGTAGCATTTTTTGTAGGTAAAATGCCCAGAGAGGCAAGAAATATCTTAAATATCTTTGGTATTCTTCTGTCACCGGTAATTTTTTTGCTAGGCACTTGGCTGCCCGAGTTTGAGCCGAAGGTTTATAGGAAACATCTTTTTTTATTTTCGTAATATTAGGATAAGATCTGCATACACATTATTCTTTCCCGAGTTGGTGCGTCTCCAACTATCGAACACAATAAAAATAGATGTCATATAGCCAACTCCAACTTATTCGAGACTTGTAACTGTTGTTAATATGGAAAAGACAATACCATACATAATGGAAAGTAGAAAGAAGATTTAAAGAATTTCTACAATTTAATCATTGAATGAAAGAAATAGCAAATTCCAACCTCCAAAAGAATACAAGAGTATGAAATACATGATCAAATCATGCCTACCATTCTCCATCAAAACCAAAAGAAAATTAAAAAAAAAAAAAAAACCGCAATGGAGGCTATACAAATTGCTCAATGAATAATGTAGGTAATGGCCAAAGCAACCAGCATTAGCACATAGGCTATACCTTGGTCAATTGCAACTCCTGCAAAAAGCAAACCAATAATACCACATTAAATAATATTACCAACCTGACTTAAAAAGAACAATTATATTATGATCGCCAAAATGGTACATGTATCTCCTACTTGATGATTTATATATTTATTAGAGCCGAATCCAAGATTTGAAATTTATGGGTTCGGAATTCTAATCCGTTTAAGTCCCTGGGTTCTAAAGTTAATCATTATCCATATAAGATGAATTTCTTAAGATAAATATAAATTTTGGAACAAAGTTATTAGGTTCAGCCGAACCCATATTCTGCATTCTAGCTCCGCCCCATATACACATAAAAAAATTGATTTTGCCCTATTGCATAGTGTAATTTTGAGATAAAGGGGATTATATTCCTCCCTTACATGAGGCTCTGCCACTGGCCACAATAACCATCAAGAGATGCAGCAAGCAAGGGAGGAGCTAGGTGGGCGAAAGGGGGTTCAACGGGATGATTGAAATTACTCCATCTTTAACTAGAAGTCTAAGTTTAGACCTAAAAATGGAGAACTTCTAGTACGGAGCGTTTAGCCCCTTAATGTGCCCACTCGACGTGAATCTGAATTAGCCAGCCGGTGAACTAACTTCAAATACCAGATGATTGAACCGAAAAAACATAAATAGGCGTGTGTATGTTAAGAAGTTGTACTAGTGCTGATATATCCTAGATCTATTTCTAGAGCCAAGAATTGTTCATACATTATCAAAACTCAAATACTTATGCTACTCAGACTCTCCAAAAGTGATGCAGCATTCGTATCGGATCCTCTAAAAATACATTAAATTTGGAGGATCCAACACGCACCCAACAACATTTTTGAAGAGTCCGAGTAACATAGTCAAATTACACATATGTGGGGTGGGGTTGAAAAAATTGAGGGCTTACCATCACTTGCAGGGGCAGGAGCAGGCTCAGGGACTTGAGCATTGATTGAAGGAATAGCCAATGCCAAAACCAAACCAAAAATAGCCATTAAACAGAGTCTCAAGACCTCCATTTTTCTTCTTTCTTGAGACCCTTTTTTTTTTCTATCTCTAAAAATGCTAAGCTATGGTTTACACCAAAAAAAACTGGTATTTAAAAGGGAGGCAGAGATGAGGGAGTCCTCAATCCCTATTTGCCTTTTTTGAAATTTGATTGTAAAGGATCCCCACTCAGTATCCACCCTGTCAAACTAGATTTCTTCCCTGTTTGGTGAGGACTCAATAATAAATTACCTGTTTTTAGCCGTTGATTAAGGGACACGTGTAAGGTTGATATTCACTGCACGTTATGAAAACAGATAGTACTGAGTTGTATAGTATAGAATAATTATGGACCTCTTCTAATAAATGAAAATTCCTTCCCCCACTTGCCAGTTGCCAAGATGAAAAACATGATTGCTTGTCTTATTATTCTTTCCATTTTCTTCATTGTTTCCTTAGTTTTTCAAATTTTAAAATGGAACTGGTCGTTGCTTTTTTGACGTTCATGTATCTAACCGTTGTTGGCTTCTTTGGTTACAGCAAACTGGGCACATCTCAAAAATCTGGAGTTGAATTCAAGCAGTAGCACTCGTTTCGGCCTCCAAAATTGAAGAATACTTTGGTGTGATAATGAAATAACGTCTGTATATTAAATGTGATTCGAATTAGATGAGTCAATAAATACACTAGAATACTAGATGGTTAAACCGGAAAGAAAATTACAACTGAAAAATTAAAGACAATGATACATAGTATATAACTAAGAATCAATAAAATGAGTTGAGAAACATGAAGTCTCAAATAGACAAAGTTACCCGATATCTGTGCTGGTAAAAAATAGCAGGTATCCCGTAAAATTTGTCCGGTGTATACAAGGTGGCCCAAGCTCCACAGCTTGTGATCCAAGTCTCAATACAAGCCAAAAAACCGTTTACTCCTCAATTAGAGGCGACAAAACGTGCAGCTGGATTCTAAATGAACATGGGTTTAGAATCTACTTTACATTTCAGATCCTCGTTTTACAGCTCTACATCTAATTTTATTTTCTCGAGCCACTTCTTTAATTGAATGAGAAGAAAAATAACCTCAGTTTTTAACGCAAAGAAAGAAAAGAACACAAGCCATATCTTTTTCCCGGCCTTATTTTTCCTTTCCCTTGCCGTCTTCCAGAAAAAAGACTTGCCTTATGACAGTATTACTATCTTTTCTGTCTCAGAAGTTTCTGTACATGCACTTCAGAAGCTAAACTTTCAACCAGAAAACATTGTTTCAATCAGAATAAAAGTCACAGATGTGAGCCTGTTTTCACATCTATGGCTTGATAAAACAATCAGTTCTTTCGCAGCATTAGTAGGAAATTAAAAGCATTATGGGGATCATCTATCATACTATATTGAACAGCAAAAAAATATTCCCTTGTCCTCGGGTAGTACACAAAGCACGTAAGGCAAATACATATTATGGCTATTCAGCTGCCCAGATTAAATGCACACATATGGGCACTAACTAAATGCTATCAGTCTGCATATTCGATTTTGGTACTGTTTCTCATCATTCAAATTTTTAAAGCAAGAACCAACTTATATACCTCTGGAGAAAACAAACATAGCAAAAGGTCAAACAACATAATGAAAGCATATGTCTAACTGGCTCTCTGCCAAATTAAAGTTCACCATTAGTAACAGGAAGGGGAACCACTGCCGGCAACTCAAAGTAGTCGAAGTCATCTGTTATTCCCACCTGTCATAAGACAAGGAAAAGACCAATTACACAAGGTACGGGAAGTTTGTTATTAAACAATGCATCTGCACTTAGATTTCTTTCAATCTTGCATCTCTTTCTCTTTTTTTGCGCTTTACTGGCCTAATTCTAATTTGTAAACATAACCCCTTCAACTTTGAAAATATGCACTTAACCTTTCAACTAGCGGAGGGAGTGAACTCTTTTCAACCAAAACTAACTATTCCTATGGACAAAGGCAATATTGCCTATCTTCAGTCAAGTTCAAAAACTGCAAACAAGAAATAGTGAAAGAACCAAAGAGAAAATCAGAGTGATTATAGGGGACTAGGATCAGGTGTAGGATCACAAGGGTTTGCAGGAGGGATGGGATAGAAAGCTTTGAAGGCTATCAATGTATAACTAAGTACCTACTGGAACCCCTTTTTACAAAGTACAAAGAGTTGATCTATTTCAGTTTCCATTGTTTGAGATGCTTCATGGCGTTACATGGCATACTCTGTATTTTAAAGTGGAGAGGAATCATAGTCGCAAAGTTGAATTGAAATATGGTTAAGTATCTTTAACTCTCTAACCTCATCTGATATATTCAATTGGTGCATGATCTAGCAGCAGTTCACAATCCTGTATAAACAAACTCATGGTTCTTCCTATGGATTTTGCTTTGTACCTCATTGTATAGGTGATCAAGTTGCTCTTTTGCTTGGGGAAAATTATTGGAACACCATTGTCTCAAAGTGAAGATGTTATCTGTATAGCAAATGCACATGATCATTAAGAAAGAGAGCCAATAATGGAAGTTACAAGGTAATAACTGGATGATGCATGAATAGCCAAACCTGTCCATCTATTAGCTGCTGAATGGGCAACTTCAATTGCCTTCTCTGTCAAAAAGAAATTCACAAGTCAGGAAACACCACATAATAAAGAACAGCACATTGGTGCGTGCACAATGAATGCTGAATAATTAAAACCATTGTCCAGTAAATACTATATTAAGCCTTAAAAGGATGCTCAAAGTTCCTTACTCATTGCTTCAAGGGTAGCGGGATCATTGTCTGCATACTGCGCCAACTCTTCCTGAACAACAAAATCATCCAACTTCAGTTTTTTAGCATAAAAATGCTAACCCAGTATGACGATTAATTTCGGAAGTCCAAAAATATCAAAAAGTGTGCCTCAACCTTAAGTTCATTGTGTTTCTGTTCAATAGCTTTCAGCTCATGCAAGGCCTCTTCTCGTGCATCCTAGTAATGCCACAGAAGTGAAAAGCAGAAACAGTCCACCAGCTCAAGTCATCCATACAAAATTATGTTAAGATTAACTTAGAGGACCATCTAGAAGTTGGTGTACTTACAGATTCTTCCCGTCCCTTTTTCAAAGCCTTGCATTGTTCAACAAGTTCAGCATGCCGCTTTTTATTGGTCTGGAGATCAGTCTCAAGCTTTATAGTTACATTTCTCAGCTGTTGAATGAGAACCAAGTATGAAGCAGCTGAAAATGAAGATGACAAGCATGTGCAAAAGATTAATCCAACCACTTACCTGGTTCCCAGCACAACTTGGCAGGCTCCAAAAGTATACCTGGAATTTCGCAAGTCAGTTAACATAATTGAGGCTGTTTGAAGGAAAAAAAACTTCTGGAGGGTAAAAGGATGGTGCTGTTATAGCACATAAAACATAGATAAACAACTTTATGCTTAGTAGCAGAGTATTACAAGAATGATGCTGTTATAACACAATCCAGATATTACTCACAGAGGTCCCTATCTTGTCTTTAAACACAAGGTCATCGTCCACCAAAGATTGGATGACATCTTTCACTGACTGGCTGATAACACCTTTTTTAGGACCCAACTTTTCAAGTTCCTTGAGCTGAAATAACAAAGGAGTTGAAAAATGTACTAAGTAATAATTAGATCATAACGCAGTAATAATTATACTATAAATAAATAAAGTGTGATTTGTCCTTCAGGCTCCAGCAGTAACTGGAAGATATAAGCGCGCTGTTCCCGAATCAGATGTCAGAAATAACAGGTTGAAATTAGATAATTAAACAGAGTTTGGTGGGTGAGGCAGGTTGAGACTCATTCTTGAATGCATTAAGCACAGATACCACAAGACGACCTGGTCTGTTCATTGAGGTAACTCCAGTATTATACAGGAGAAGACAACTAAGAGAAGATGTGACCGTCGCTATATAACTATCTAACAAATTACTATCTTGTTCTGAAATATCACAGGCCTCGTCAGGCAGGAACCTTCAGCTATTCCAAAACTTTTGAGCTCTCTGGTAAAACATCTAAAAGATCCCTCTGCTAAGTTTGGATAGCATAAATGCTGCTAAAGTTTTAACAAAGCCCTTAAAGTAGATACATTATCCATTATGTTACTTTCCGTTAAGTAATGTCACTGCTCTAGATATTCATGCATAACATACTAAATTACAGATACTACCAATGGATTTTCAAATGCTTTTTCTCACCATGGCATGCTTATCACCCACAGAAGAAGGGTGGTGCTTTTAAAGATACAGAAAGAAAAGTCACACAATAGTTACAGAAAGAATAGTCAGAATGATGTTATATTTCTCCAGATATAGCGAATTTCATGATATAACCGGTTTCTGAAAAGATCAGTAGCACAAATTGGGCAAAAAAACAAATACAACTTAGGAATTAGTCATTTCCCACAAGTATGTGTGTCCGAGGGACATGCACCAATACTAAAACCACTAGTTGAATTAACTGGCATTGATCTCCATTGTAATTATGCATGATCTTATAGCAAAAGTAAAAAAGCCCCACTTCTTTTGGAACCCAAAATTACGACTAGTATACTTACGAGGAAGAAATCTTGTGAATCATAAAAGATCTGCAGCATTTTCTCTCGTTTCTCATCCAATGAAAGACCTCTTTTCTTCGACTGTTCACAAGAAATAATCAGTAGTTGGATACTGAAAATCACAGAACTCATATGCATCTGTGCTACATATTTCAATCAAAGTTGCTGTTATATAATTTAGAGTTCATAGCAGACTTCCAGACTTACAGGATTGCACTTTTGTATGTTCCAACGCCAAAATATGACATCCATGGAAATTAGTGAAAGGGCATTAATATAATTTTTAAGCTATATACAGAGCAACATCGGCATAATAAAGTTCCTCAATGTGGAACATTTTTTCTCCTTTTTAAATAATTACTTGCAGAAACCAAAACTATACTTTTGCTTTTTTTTTATGACCGAGAATTTGTCTGGGCCAACCTTAGGGCCAACCGCGCCATTTGAAACTTGCAGATAATGGACTTGCCCCTCTACCCTTCTCCACTTAAATACCATGCTTAGTTCGCATGGCACAAGGCTCGAACGTGTAACCAAAGTCACAAGTCCCTCAACCTTTACCACTTGAACTGAGCCCCAGGGGCCACAGCTATACACATTTCAGTTAAGAAAAGAGGAAAAAAACAGATTACATAAAAAATAAAGAAGAAATTAAAGATGAAACAAATCCACACATCCATCTAATAATTACGATTCAAAACATCAGGGGCCCGAGAAAGGTATTGAATTATAAGATAACTAAGCCTCATGTTATATGAATCAGATAATGACGAGAACAGACTAATTGAGGCTACAAAAGCACCTCCTACACTGGATCTAAGGTGAAAGAATTGTAATACACACACACACATAGATACAAACACATATTTGTATTCAGAAATGGTGTTAAACTGCAATGCGCAAAAAAGTTTAACAAAATAAAATACATCTATTCCTGAAAAAGATCCATCACAAAATCTGAAAATTTTGCAAATCTCATTTCAGGGTACGGATATAGTGAAAAATTAGATTCAGTGATGTATTTACACTCGTGCGAACTGCAAACGCACAGCCATACATATTTCAGTTAAGACGAAGAGTAAAAAAAAGGATTACATAAAAGTTGAAGACTGGATAAAAAAGAAACAAGTCACGCAGCCACCTCACCAATTACAATTCAAAACATCAGCAGCACAAGACAGATTGAATTATAAGACAACTAGCCTCATCTTATATGGTTCAGATAATGAAGAAAGCTGACTCATTGAGACAACTGAAGCACACTTCCCACGCTGAATCTAATGCATCAAAACAAAGGTACAAACACATATGTGTGTGTATTAAAAAATGGTGTTAAACTGAACAGTTTACCTTAGTCGGAGCGCAAAAAAAATAAAATAAATTGAGGATACAGAAGCACCTCCTACACTTAAACTAACACAAGAAAGTATGTGTGTGTGTGTGTGTACACACCCCTAAATACAAACACGTGTTTGTGTATTCACAATATGATGATGAACTGCGATATTTACCTTAATCAGAGCGAAGAAAAAAAAGTGTACAAAAAAATTACATCAATTACCGTTCAGCAAATTATCTGAAAAATGTGATGGAACGGGTAAATTTCATTTAAGGATTTCGATACCGTGAGAATTAGATTCAGCAACGTATTAACACTTTTGGAAAGCCGCAAACACACACAGCTAAACATATTTCAGTTAAGACGAAGAGCAAAAAGGGTTACATAACTTAATCGGAGCACAAAAAAGTTCTAACAAAATAAAATACATTTATTACCACAAAAGTTCTGCCAGAACCAGTGAATTTTATTTAGGATTTCGATAACATGAAAATCAGATTCTGCAACGTATTTACACTTGCACAAAGCCGCAAAGACAGACTAATTGAGGCTACAAAATCACTTCCTACACTGAATTTAAGTGTGTGTGTAGACACACACACACATACACACATATATACAAACACCTATGCGTGTGTATTTAAAAATGATGTTAAGCTGCGGTAATTACCTCAATCGGAGCACAAAATATTAGAAAATTACATCTATTATTCTTTCTCAAAAATAAAAAATACATCTATTACCAAAATTTTAATTTTATGATTTTGATACCGTGAAAATTAGATTCAGCAATGTATTTACACTCGCAGCCGCAGTCACAGTCTAATTGAGGCTACAGAAGCACTTCCTAAACTGATTTTAATGCGTGAATTGTCACATGTACGTGTTTAAAAATGATATTAAGCTGTGGTAATTACCTTAATCCGAGCACAAAATGATCAGAAAAAGTACATCTATTACAGAAATTTTCATTTTAGGATTTCGATACCGGGTACAACTAGACTCAGCTACAGTATTTACGCTAGAGCAAAGCCGCAAACACAACAGATTGATAAGCTAGGTTTTAGAGAGTGTAGAAATGCTTACCATCTCGAATTAGCGATATCGGTAATTGAATTTTTTTGCAGGAAGTTGAACGGAGCTGATAGTGATACGAAACTGGGAAAGAAGCGTTTTGAAGAAGATTCCGGAAGATTTTGAAAATAAATGCTTGATTATGGCGGGAATGTTGTCTGACCTCACTCCTCTACCGCTATATTTGGTACTGGAGATGTATTTATTTATAAAGACCCGGTTCTTTTGGAACTGTAATAGTTTAGACAGTTGATATGCAGCTACTTAAGTTGAATAATTTATAATTTAATAAAATAACCTTTTTAAATCTTTTACGTGTAAAAGATAAATTTTATATGTGTAAAAAAGAGGTAAAATCATAAAGCTAATAACAAATTTATAAAGAGCCACGAAATCAATTGACCATTCCTAACATGTCGTATCATTTTTCAGTCAAGTTTACTGGTCAAGTTTGTCTCTAATGGGGAGCGCTTCCCTCTGTGTCACGTGGAGTAAATTTGAGTTAGCCGATCAGTAAATTTTGAGTATTAAATAATTACACCAAAAAAAAAAAAGATAAGGTTTGCTATTAACTAAAGTGGGTCAAAACTTTTGGCTCAGAAATGCTATTTATAGATAAGAGGGGTTGCTCGGATGGTAAGCAACTTCCACTTCCAACCAAGAGGTTGTGAGTTCGAGTCTCCCCAAGAGCAAGGTGGGAAGTTTTTGGAGGGAATAGGAATAAGGTATGCGTACACACTACCCCTCCCCAAACTCCACTAAATGGAATTATAGTGGATTGTTGTTGTATGCTATTTATATGTCTGTTATTTATTTATTTATTTATTTTGAAGGCATGTGTGTTATTGTTATAATTTGGTTATTCTTCAATTATATGAATCAAAATCTAATGTCTTTTTTTGGTAAAAAAGATAGATATATATAGATAGATAATCAAGCTCTTAGAGAGCTATTCAGGAGATGCATTATAGGCATCGGATTTACAATACTAGAACTAGAGGCCCCTATAGAGGAACCATTAACTAGAGCAAAAGTAGAAGTATCCAAACTAACATCATATAGTACGAAGCCACGAGAAGACTTAAAGAAAGCCTTCGAGAATTTCCTGCAACCACGTGGAATAACGTTTATAACAGGTATAGTACGAAGTTGCGAATTGAGGAAGATACCGTACCTCAGTTTTGTCATGAAGAAAGGAGTAATTCTAGGAGATCAGAAACCGAAAAAAGATCAGGTAAAAACAGGTACGATCCATATATGGGACCTGCAGGGAAAGACTCACGGTCAAAGCAGGATAGTCAATGATATGATCAAAAATCGAGGAACAGGGAATCTGGTTCTTCATTAAGGTTCAGAAATGACCGAAACAGACAAGAGTCACGAGATAATGACAGAAGTTTAAAAGCAAGGTTCGGCAGATATAACTTTAATGTCACCACCTCCGAGCTCGTAACTGTTTTGAGGAGCATGGGAGATAAGGTATGATGGCCAAAAGAGATACGGTCAAATCCAAATAGACGCAATCCAGACCATTGGTGCGAATTCCACAATGATCACGGGCACAAAACTTTAGAATGTAGATTCTTACAAAGTGAAATAGATCATCTATTGAAACAAGGGTATCTCACTGAGTTATTTAGTGAGAAAGGTAAGCAAGCCTATACGAAAAATAGGCAGGAGCCACCAAATCCCCCTTCACTTAAGAGAACCGTGAATGTTATAAGCGGGGGAGAAGATATTCACGGTGTAACATATACGACTTCCAACAAGGTTTCTAAAGTAACGATAACACACGGTAAACGGGTACGGCAGGTTTTAGAAAACAAAAGTATTTCTTTCGATGATGCAGTTACCGAAGAAGTAATGACCCTGCATAACGATGCATTGGTAATATCATTACATGTATATGATACTAATGTAAAACGAGTTTTGATTGATCTAGGAAGTTCCGTGAATATTATACTATTAAGGGTATTACGTGAAATGCAAGCTGAAGACAAAATGATACCTAAGGCACATACCCTATCCGGGTTCGACAATTCAAGTGTGGTAACAAAAGGAGAGGTAATTCTAACAACTTTTGCTGCAGGTGTTGTTAAAGAAACTAAATTTCAGGTAGTAGATATAGAAATGGCTTACAATATGATCATGGAGAGATCTTGGATCCATGACATGGATGTTGTTCCATCAACTCTACATCAAGTTATTAAATTACTGTGGGGAATTTGCCAAATTCGTGGGGATCAGCAGACAGCCAGGAGTATCAACGCTGTAACAGATACGAGCACCGTAAATAAAGAAAAATAGCAATTACAGGAAACAGTTGAAGGTATCAAGGATCAAACCTCAACCGAACAAGAAAAGACAGATTTAGACTCGAGACCTGGTACAATTCAGGAACCTGAAGAGAATGAAAATATCAAAAAAACAATTGAAGTGCTCGAGGCTGTGATATTATTTGGGCAATGGCCTGAACAGAAGGTTTATGTTGGAGCCAATTTAAGCTCAGACATGCGAGGTATGTTGATTGAATTTTTAAAAGCTAACGTGGACTGTTTCGCTTGGTCCCATGCTGATATGACAGGGATACCGCCGGATGTGATGACTCACAAACTAAATGAAGACTCATCCTTCACACCAGTAAAGCAAAAAAAAACAAGGAGCTTTCAAAAATCAAGTGATTCAAGATGAGGTCCAAAAGCTATTAAAAATTGGGTCAATACGCGAGGTAAAGTATCCTAATTGGTTAGCAAACACAGTTGTTGTACCTAAGAAAAACGGTAAGTGGCGGGTTTGCGTGGATTATACAGATCTGAACAAAGCCTGCCCAAAAGATTCTTTCCCTTTACCGCATATAGATCAGTTAATTAATGCAACTGCAGGACATGAACTTTTGAGTTTTTTAGATGCATATTCGGGGTACAACCAAATTAAAATGGACCCCAGTGACGAAGAAAAAACTTCTTTCATCACAGACATGGGGACTTACTATTATAAAGTAATGCCATTTGGTCTCAAAAATGCTGGAGCAACCTATCAAAGGTTGGTCACCAAAATGTTCCAAGAACATTTAGGAAAAACCATGGAGGTATATATAGACGATATGCTCAAAACACAACATTCTCATGATCATATTTCTCATTTATTTGTTACATTTGAAATTTTATGAAAATTTAATATGAAACTCAATCTAGAAAAATGTGCATTTGGGGTTGCCTCAGGCAAATTTTTGGGCTTTCTCGTTTCTAACCGTGGTATTGAGGTAAATCCTTTTCAGATCAAAGCAATAGAGGAGATCCCTGATATCCTTACGAGTAAAAAAGAAGTCCAAAGGCTAACGGGAAGAATTGCAGCCTTGGGGAGATTTATTCCCAAATCTTCAGAAAAATGCTTTAAATTTTTCTCCGCACTCAAAAAGCAAGATCATTTTGAATGGAACGAAGATTGCCAACAAGCCCTTAGAAATTTAAAAGCTTACTTGTCAAATCCACCACTATTGGCAAAACCAAAAGAAGGAGAAAAGCTACTCATCTATTTGGCCGTGTCAGAAGTTGCGGTAAGTGCTGTTTTAGTCCGTGAGGACCAAGGTAAACAATCTCCTATCTATTATGTAAGCAAGTCTTTATTAGATGCTGAAACACGATATCCACAACTAGAAAAATTAGCATTAGCTTTGATCATGGCATCTAGAAAATTAAGCCCTTATTTTCAATGTCATCCCATTGTTGTAGTTACTACTTTTTCATTACGAAACATTTTGCATAAACATGAATTGTCAGGGAGGTTAGCAAAATGGGCTATAGAATTAAGTGAATACGAAATCATTTATCAACCTAGGACTGCTATAAAATCTCAAGTATTAGCCGATTTCGTAGCTGATTTTAGCCAGGGGATGCATTTAGAAGCAGAAAAAGAATTACAAGTTTTTAATGGTGCAAACCCGGGGACTTGGATTTTATTCACTGATGGTTCGTCTAATGTAAAAGGAGCAGGCCTAGGGATAGTTCTCATACCACCTACGGGTGAGACTATTAGACAGGCTATAAAATGTCATTCTATAACTAACAATGAAGCAGAGTATGAGGCTGTAATTGCAGGTCTAGAATTGGCACGAGAACTCGGCATAACACAGATTATAATCAAGAGTGATTCTCAACTCGTGGTCAATCAAATGCTGGGGACTTATACAGCCAGGGAGACACGAATGCAAGAATATCTCGAAAAGGTACGGGAACTAATAAAGCAATTCCAAACTTGGAAAGTAATGCAGATCCCAAGAGATGAGAATGTGGAGGCAGATGCTTTAGCTAATCTCGCATCTGCAGTAGACATAGCAAACGACGCAAATGCTTCAGTCGTACATTTATTTCATTCCGTTCTCGAACTTGATAAGAACGAGGTAAATTTTAATCATTTAACATGGGATTGGAGAAACGAAATTATTGCTTTTTTACAGCGCGGAACCGTGCCTGCTGACTAAAGAAAAGCTTATGCACTTCGCAAAAAAGCTGCTCGTTACTATTTACATCAAGGAAATCTTTATCAAAAGATGTTCGGTGGGCCATTAGCAAGGTGTCTCGGACCTTCCCAAACCGAATATGTGATGAGAGAAGTGCATGAAGGACATTGTGGAAATCACATAGGAGGAAGGTTACTGGTAAAAACGTTGATTCAAGCAGGGTATTATTGGCCTAAAATGGAAGAAGAAGCAAACGGTTTAATGTCCAAGTGTGATAAATGTCAAAGATACGGCAATAATATGCATAGACCAGCTGAGCCATTGCACCCTGTTATAGCCTCGTGGCCCTTTATGAAATGGGGAATGGATATTGTAGGTCCACTACCACAAGCAAAAGGTCAGGTGAAATTTCTACTTGTACTTACAGATTATTTTACTAAATGGGTAGAAGTAGGAGCATTTAAACAGGTACGAGAGAAGGAAGTTAAAAACTTCATTTGGAGAAATATAATATGCCGTTTTGTAACACCAAAGGAAATCGTGTGTGACAACGGTCCGCAATTCATAGGAGCTCAAATCACTGAATTTTTTCAAAGTTGGCAAATTAAAAGGATAACATCTACACCATACCATCCAGTGGGTAATGGACAAGTGGAATCCACAAACAAGGTCATTATCAACAATTTGAAGAAAAGGTTACAGGATTCAAAAGGTAATTGGCCTGAGGTATTACC